ATCCATTTCAGAAAGTGGCATACATGGTTTAAAATCAGGAAGGGAGTGCATCAGGGTTGTATCCTTTCCCCATACTTATTCAATCTATATGCAGAGCAAATAATCCAAGAAGCTGGACTATATGAAGAAAAATGTGGCATCAGGATTGGAGGAAGAATCATTAACAACCTGAGATACACAGACGATACAACTTTGCTTGCTGAAAGTGAGGATGACTTGAGGCACTTACTGATTAAGGTTGAAGAATACGGTCTGCAGTATGGATTACTTCTCAATACAAAGAAAACAAAAATCTTCACAACTGGACCAATGAGCAGCATCACAATAAATGGAGAGAAGATTGAGCTTGTCAAATAATTCATGTTGCTTGGTTCTGCAATTGATGTCAATGGAAGCAGCAGTCAGGACATTAGACAACATGTAGCACTGGGAAAGTCAACCACGAAGGAACTGTTTCAAGTGCTGAGGAACAAGGATGTCTCCTTGAGGACTAAGGTGCGCCTGATACAAGCCATGATATTTCCAATTGCCTCATATGCACATGAGAGCTGGACAATGAATAAGGAAGACCGAAGAAGAGTTGATGATTTTGAGTTGTGGTGCTGGTGAAGAATGCTGAAAGTACCATGGACTGCTAAAAGAACTAACAGATCTGTCCTGGAGGAAGTGCACCCAAAATGCTCCTTGGAAGTGAGAATGCCCAGACTCATCTCACCTATTTTGGTCATGTTGTCAGAAGGGACCATTCCCTGGAGAAGGATGTCATGCTTGGTAGAGTGGAGGGTAGATGAAAGAAAGGGAGGCCTTCAACGAGATGGATTGACATGGTGGCTGCGATGATGAGCTCAAGTATAGCAGGGATTGTGGAGCTGGCACAGGATTGGGCAGTGTTTCGTTCTGCTGTGCATGGGGTCGCTATGAGTCAGAAATGACTCAATGGCACCTAACAACAACAACAACTCTCTGCTCAAGGCTGTTTCAGAGTATCTTCTGACATTCATTCTGGTCTTTTCTTCCTTTCTTGTCTTTTTAATGACCTTTTGCTTTCTTCATTGATTATGTTCTTGATGTCACCCCACAATTCCTCTGGTTTTTGATCATTGGTGTTCAATGCATCAAATCCATTCTTCAAATGGTCTCTAAATTCAGGAGGGATATTATCAAGGTCATATTTTTGCTCTCATGGTCTTCTTTTAATTGTCTTCAACTTCAACTTGAACATGCATATGAGCAGTTGGTGGTCCACAATCAGCTCCTGGCCTTGTTTTGGCTGAAGATATTGAACTTCTCCATCGCCTCTTGCCACTTGTCAATCTAATTCCTGTGTATTCCATCTGGTGAAGTCCATGTGTGTACCTGTCACTTATGTTGTCACTTATGTTGTTGAAGCAGCTCTGGTGTTATAGTTCCTAAGACATTTGACTGCTAACCAGAATCCTGGTGGTTCAAACCCACTTCCACTTCTTGGAAGGAAGGTTGGGCAATCTACTTCTGTAGTGATACCACCTCAGAAACCCAAAGAAGGGTTGCTATGAGCTGGATCTGACACAATGGCAGTGAGTTTGGTTTGGTTTGGTATGTTGTTGAAAAAAGTACTTGCAATGAATTATTCATTGGACTTGTGAAATTCTATTAAGTGATCTCCAGCATTATTTCTATCACTAAGGCCATATTTTCCAACTACCGGTAACTCTTCTTTGTTTCCAACTTTTGCATTCCAGTCACCAGTGATAATTAACACATCTTTCTTGCAAGTTTGGTCAATTTCAGACTGCAAAAGTTGGTAGAAATCTTCAATTTTCTCATCTTTGGCTGGTGGTTGATGCATAGATTCGAATAATAGTAGTATTAACTGGTCTGCCTTGTAGGTACATGGATATTTTCTTATCACTGACAGCACTGTACTTCAGGACAGATATTGAAACATTTTTTGTGATGATGTATGCTATACCATTCCTCTTCAATTTGTCATTCCTGACATAGTAGATTATATGGTTATTTGACTCAAAATGGTGAAAATCAGTCCATTTCAGCTCATTAATCCCTAGGATATTGATCTTTATGCATTCTATTTCATTTTTGAAAAGTTCCAATTTTCCTAGATTCATACTTCATACATTCCATGTTCCAATTTTTAATGGATGTTTTCATCTGTTTCTACTCATTTGGAGTCATGCCACATCACCCAGTGGAAGGCCTGAAAGCTTGAGTCTATCTGTATCATTAAGGTTGCCTCTACTCTGAGGACTCAGCTCTTCCCCTGTCAAATTTTAAGTATCTTCCAACCTGATGAGCTCATCTTCCAGCACTATATTGGACAATGTTTCAGGGCTATTCATAAAGTTTTCCAATAATATATCAGACAGTGTTTTACTGCAATTCATAAGGTTTTCACAGGTCAATTGTTTGAGAAGTAGATGGCCTCTTCCTTCTTCCAAGTCTGTCTTAGCTCAGAAGCTCCACTGAACATGTCCACCATGGGTAACTCTTCTGGCATTTTGCAACACTGGTGTCACAGCCTCCAGCCTCAAAGCAACATGTAAACCATCACAGGACAAAAAAATGACAGACAAGTTTGTCACCCTTAGTTGTTCTAACCCATCTGTGCCTGCCTACCTCAGGTCCCAGCCTTAAAATAGAGCTGCCCCGAAGCAAAAAAGCAGCCCCTAAGCCCAGTGCCCACCTTCCTTGGGCCAAGCCTTAAAATGGAGCCACCTCCATGCAAAAATAATGAATAAGGAAGACCGAAGAAGAGTTGATGCTTTTGAGATGTGGTGCTGGCAAAGAATGCTGAAAGTACCATGGACTGCTAAAAAGAACTAACAGATCTGTCCTGGAGGAAGTGCACCCAAAATGTTCCTTGGAAGCAAGAATGACCAGACCTCATCTTACCTACTTTGGTTATGTTGTCAGAAGGGAACATTCCCTGGAGAAGGATGTCATGCTTGGTAATGTGGAGGGTCGATGAAAGAGGGAAATGCCTTCAATGAGATGGATTGACACCATAGCTAAGACAATGGGCTCACGTATAGCAAGGATCATGGAGCTGGTGCAGGATTGGGCAGTGTTTCGTTCTGCTGTGCATGGGGTTGTTATGCATCAGAAATGACTTGACGGCAGCTAACAACAACAACAACCAAGCAAAAAGCATCCCCCAAGCCCTGCACCCTCCTACTTTGGCCCCCAGCCTGGGAAAAAAAAAAAAAGGAATACTATGCAACACTAAAGAATAATGTAGAATCTGCAAAACACCACATAACATGGATGAACTTGGAGGACATTATGCTCAGTGAAATAAGTCATCACAGAAGGACAAATACTGTATTAGTTCATTATTATAATAAGTCAAGGAAAGGTTTATATATGGAAGGAAACTTTCTTTGTTGGTTACCATGGGTGGGAAGAGAGGGGAGGGAATACTGCAAAAATGAAAAAAAAAAAACAAAACAAAAAAAAAAACTTATGAATAGCAGCAAAACACTGATATAATGGACCAGGCAGTGTTTCGTTCTGTTGTACATAGGGTCACTATGAGTCACAACCAACTCAACGGCACATAACAACAACAACAACATCTAAGATAAAGACTAGTCTGAAGGCCAGAAGAATAACGTTGTGGTAATGGGAAGAAGAATAGTCTTACGAAATGGAAATCTTTTTCATCATTCTACATTTTGGCCCTTTAGCAGGAGTTACACAGGAAGGCAAAAGAGTTCAGGATCCTTTCCAAAACCAGATAAATAGCTAATGGCAAACATTTATTAAGGGCTTGCTGTTTGCCAGGAACCGTATTGCATGCATCATATGCATTTCCTCATCCCATCCTCTAACAACTTCCTATGAAGTGGTAGTATTACCTTCACATTTCATGAATGAGGCACCCGGGCTTAGAGAGGTTAAGCAGCCTGTACACCTCAAAAATGGTAGATGAAATTTGAACCAAATAACCAGAATCTGTATACAAATTCCAACCTAAATCTCCCATGAGTAAAAGGTATATAGCAAACACACTAAGACACCACACAGTTCATTATTATGTGTGTTCAGAAATCCAAATCCAGTCAAATACTGTCTTCTAATATTCTGGGGTCCTCAGTTCCTTAGAAAGGAGCTCTGGTGGCATAGTGGTTAAAGCAATTGGTTGATACACAGAAGTTTGGCAGTTTGAATCCATCAGCCACTACCTGGGAGAAAGATGAGGCAGCCTGCTTCTGTAAAGATTTACAGCCTTGGAAACCCCATGGGGCAGTTTGACACTGCCTATAGGATCTCTATGAGATGGACTGGACTCGATGGCAGTGAGTTTGAATTTCTTAGAAATAAATTATCCCTTATGCCCTGGAGAAAAATAGCAACTTGGTGTTTGGGGGGTGGGTAGCTGAATAGATAGGAAAAATTACACTTGTGTTACTCCAGGAGACTGGACCATGTGTTTTAAGAATTAACAGTAGTACTCTATTCCACATCAGGAAAAAGCTTGGTCTTATGTCTTCTACTGGCTATTCCCAATTCTCACTTCCATCCTACCCTCCATACCTTACATTCATATATATGTCATGGCAGAGGTTGTTATTTTCTAATAAAATAAGATACCCTTAAAAAATACAAGTTTATTACCTATAACCATGTGAACCTCATTTTGGCCGCACAGAAGTTAAAAAGTGCCTCCAGAATTTCAGAAATAGGTTATTGCCCTAACGTAAGCATAAAGGGAGAACTCTCCTCCTCAGTACTCTATCAGTGTCTTTAACTTCCTACTGACTGCACTTGAGTTTTAGGAACATCATTAAACTGAAGGGTCTTCCTTTAGTTTTCATAAGAAACTGCCTCTTGTGAATATCACTTTCATGAATTAGCACAACATCCTAATTTTCTTTTGCTGAGAAAAAGAATTAAAAACTCTAGCTTTGCCGCTCAACTTTACAATGAGATGATAGTCAATGAAGAGGTCCTAGAGTCATACAACATCCAATATATATCAAAGTAAAAACATAACTTACCTTTTCACCTTGCGTACCAGGGGGACCCATTAATCCAGAAAGGCCTTGATCCCCCTGTACACCAAACACAATAGGGTATTTAGTGTTATTAAAGAGAATTAAACACTAGAATTCCCCTGCTTCAAGACTGCATCTTGGAAGTCAAGCTTCTAGTGCATTCATTTCGATCTTCACAATGCATCTCAAGGCACCTCCTTTCTGAGATCTTTTAAGATCTTTTCTGAGGCTCTCAACCCTTATCTCTTAGCACAAAATACTTTACTGTACTTTCCCACTTCATGCCCTTGCTCCTTTTTCTCTTAATTATTTTTCATCAGGAATGTCCTTACTTTCACAATTCCTGTCAAAGAATATTTACTTTGTTTTGAAAACTTCAGTTTCCTTAAAAATTCTGCAAGCACTTTGTGAGGGCCTGGTCTGATTCCTTAGGAGCTCTAGTGAAGTACTGCCTAAGGCATTTGACTGCCAACCAGAAGGTGGGAGGTTCAAATCCACCAGGCACTCCTCCGAAGGAATATTGGACAATCCATCTCCGTGGAGATACCAAAACCAAAACCAAACCCACTGCCGTGGAGTCGGATCCAACTCATAGCAAGCCCGCCTTGGGTTTCTGAGGCAATATCACTACTGAAGTAGATTGCCCAATCTTCCTTTCCAGGAGTGGCTGGTGGGTTTGAACTGCCAGCCTTCTGGTTAGCAGTCAAATGCCTTAGGTACTACTCCACTGCCTGGGAAACCTAGTGGGGGTCACTATGAGTCAGAATCGAGTCATGGCAGTGAGTTTGGTTTGGTTTGGTTTGGTTTGGTTTGTGACTCCGTTTCCTCCTGTGCTTCCTCCTGCTTCTGCCTTGATGAGGGTCTGTAAGCCTACCCTAAGGAAAGAGAGAATATACCCCTGAGGGGGAAGGTGTGTTTTTAGGCTGTGACCTTAGAAATGACAAAAGACACAGAGGCAGCTGTGTGACTGCACAAGAAAAAACATACATACTTCAGAAAAAGATGGGTGTACAGGTTGTTTTGAACCAGCTTACTAAAGGTGTACTTTTATTTTTAAAAAACCTCCCTTTACCTCTTTCCATTTCAATGGCTTTATTGCGTTGTTAAAGAAATGTATTGTGTTTGGGGGGAAAAAAAAACTATTTATACAGAAAAGATTATTCAATAATACCTAAATAAACTCTTTGGTAAATGTTTTTGTTCTGTTTATCTTTTACTATATTACCTACTTTAATTGGTCATCAAATTAAATATTCAGAAGAGAAAGGGATATTTCTGATGATTCATTAACTATGGATTGCTTTCCCGTTTGTTCTAATACTCATTTTAATAGTTCTTTTAAAAATTTTATTAGGATGGTTTTCATTTGCTATGGGATAACCAGTTTATGCTTATTATTATAATTATCATCATCACCATCATCATCATCATAGTGGCACTCTATGGAAGAGAAGTTCTAGCTATCTGCTCCCTTAAAGATCACAGCCTAGGAAATCCTACAGGGAAGTTCTACTCTGTCATGTAGGATCGGAACTGACTGCACAGCACACAACAATTACTCTGATAAAGGGAGAAGGAAACTGGAGGCTGGAGGCTGGTCTCCTTCCACTAGCTACAATCATGGGTGAATCACTTAATTTCTCTTCACAGTTCCTCTATAAAATGAGAACTATTATTAATAATAATAACACCCCACTTGTCTTATAGAAGAAGTAAATTACCACCATTTAAAAGTTGTATATCTATGCCATTGAAGGCCCAAAAAGGCTTATACGTTTTATATGTGCTATGGTAAACCAAAAACTAAACCCACTTCCATCAAGTCAATTCTAACTCATATGCCCTATGGTAGATGTTACTTTATGAATGTTACATAGGGGAGGGCTAGTCTATGCATTTCTTTTATTGTTGCATCATTGACTGTACGTTACTGGTAAAATAGGCTAAGTAATTAAAGTAAAGTTTCTTCCAATACTCCTCCATTCCCACCAAGTTAATGCTGGTATTTTATTTGAATGCCAGTTTTATTTGTATTCACATTATATGTGTATAATTCGTCTCTTATTTCCTCACTTTAAATTTGAACTCATTAGATGTATTAAATCTTAGAGATTGTTTTTAAATTTTATCATTTTAGAAATACAATTTGCAATTTTAGAAGTTAGATTTCATCTAAAACTCATTGGCAACATGTTATTAAATTCTGTATATTTCTATGTTTCTCCTATATGGTATTAACCACAATTAAGTAACTCTGGTGGCACAGTAGGAGCTCTGGTGATGTAGTCCTAAGGCATTTGACAGCTAACCTAGAAGGCTGGCGGCTCAAATCCAGCAGCCACTCCTCAGAAGGAAGGTTGGGCAATCTATTTCCATAGTGATACTCCCTCAGAAACCCAAGGAGCGGTTGCTATGAGTTGGATCTGACTTGATGGCAGTGGGTTTGGTTTTTTGGTTTTGGTGGCATAATAGACAAGGCATTTGGTTGCTAAACAGAAGGTCAGTGGTTCAAACCTACTAGCTGCTCTGTGGGAGGAAAATGGGGTGTGTGAATAATTAAAAAAAAAATGGATATACTTCCAAACATTAGCTCCCATACTGAACCACCATGTAGTTTGTACAGAGAAGACACAGGGGAAGATACAACTAAGTATTTGATATAAATGTGAATGTCTAATTCGGGGTTTTATTTCAAGTAGTGACCAGGACAGAGTGGGCCTCTAATTTCTAAATTTTAAGTATGGAATCAAATGTCTTATATTTACAAAGAGAGCATTTATGTTTCCTTCTTAGATTGCAGGATTTTTTTTTCCCTGCAATAATGAAAGGATTAATCAAAATACTGTGTTTATAGAAATAAATTTCTGTTCTCTTTCTAAATTATTTAAATTCAGTCTACTCAATCCCACGATAGCAATAAAATTCCTAATATTTTATATAAAGACATTTTTGATGATTTGTTAGTACAATAATCTGTAGAGTTCATTAATTTTATGTCACATTTTTTTAGTTTACAAGAGTTATATAAGCCAATTAAAAGTTCAGATTTTAACACAAGAACCATCAAAAATTGTTCAGGAATTTTTAAAAGTTTGTGAATGTATACCACATAAACAAAAACATCCTATAATTATATCACATTCATCCAGAACTTAACAAAGTTTACCAGATGTTTTTCTAAAGTCTTTCCATTTATATTCATCCTCACTAGAAAATAGCACCCTACTTCCAGTAAAGATTTGTTTCTATCTTTAAGACATTAGTTCATTTTTACCTAAGTATATGTATGTGTGCTTGAAAACATTATTATAAAATGAAGAGCATACTAGACCAGAAGTCAGAAGACCTGAATTTAGTATTAACTCTGTCACTTACTATCAATTATATGACCTCTCATTTAGATATCTTCCAATTCTGTTTTCTCAGTTGGCAACAAGATAATGATGGTTCTCTCACAGATAGTTGTGGTGGGACTTAAGGAAGACTAAATTCATGGAACCACCTTAAAAAGGTATAAAATGGCATAGGAGTTTATTATTGTGTGTGTGTGTATGAACAGCAAAATCTTTGTGAATGGGGACATCTTATTCTAATTTCTTTTACCTCAACCACCTCTAATTGGCAGGCTGCAATAGACACTCGGCACGAGTAGTTACTGTAAGGATATAAACTACCAAGTTAACCCAATGATATAATTTGTTTAATTCTTTAAATATTTCTTATTTCCTTAAAATCTAATAGTCTTCTAATATCTTCTCTAATGTCAATTCAAATGTAGATTAAAAATATAAAAATAACTAAAAATATTTTATATATATTACCATGATTTTGTTTTATGGACAGATAAATTACCTTTTCTCCAGAATTAGCTTGACCTGGGGATAATCCTGGATCTCCTTTAAGGCCCTAGATAAAAGTTATAAAACACTTGGTGAAACATAAATTATATGCACTGTATCACATATCTTCAGTTATAAGGATCATCCGATGCCATATATATTATGTGGTATTAAACCAAAAAACCAAACTCACTGCCCTCAAGTCACTTCTGACTAACAGCAACCCCCTTTGGGTTTCCAAGGTGGTAAATCCTTAGGGAAGTAGATTGCGCAGTCTTCCTTCTGTGAAATGGCTGATGGGTTGAACCACCAGACTTCTGGTTAGCAGTCAAATGCCTTAGGTACTACACCACCAGAGCTCCTTTTATATGGTATTAGATAAAATTATTTTAAAAGGAGATTAGCATGAATTATTTATTTTTTCATTTATCTTATTTCTTAGCCTTCTTTTTAAATGCTGAGAAGATTCTGAAAAAATTCCTATACATAGTTGATTTTTTGCAATACAATATAGTTATACTACTACTTAAACTCCTCAGAAGGAAGGTTGGGCAATCTACTTCCATAGCGATACCGCCTTGGAAACCCAAGGAGGGGTTGCTATGAGTCAAGTCCAACTCAATGGCACATAACAACCACTACTTAAACATTTATTTGGGGGACCTAGAGAAAGGCTCTATTATCTATTTAATTTTTGTAACATAAAGACTTGTTATTTCTATTTTAGCATAAGTTTGGTTACTTTTAGTAAAAGAAACCTGCTTATAATAATTCTTAAAATATTAAGATACAATTCTAAGTTTATATATTTTCTAAAATATTACAATGAGCATTACCTTTATAATAAAGGAAAGAGATACCTCTAATTGCCAAAATTCTTTCTATTCTATTCTAAAAAGAGATACTTTTTATAGCCTGACATCTTTATCTTTTATTTTTCAAAAGAACTATGACACTAGGTTTCAATTAAGTATTTTGAACAATATAGAAATTTTCTTTTTACACATACTACCAAAGTATCTATTCTTCAAATTTTTCTCACACTTCACACAAGATAGGGTTCACAACTGAGATTCTATAAAATTAAAGTTCTGATTTCAGTATCATTCTCAATTAAAAATAAATAAATCTCTATTCCTAGATAGTTCTAAACACTATTTTCACTGTATATGAAATGGGGAAATTGTCTTTCTTGTCATCATCACTTCTTTCACATATTCAGGGATACTTTTATTACCACTCAAAATGACCAATGAAAGAAGGGAGACAAAAAAAAAAAATCCTGTATGGTTCCCAGTGAGTCATTTCCTTTTACAAATTAGAAATGAGTTGTCATTGATTTAAAGTTGTACTTTCTATGTTGTTATTTGGTATTAGTTGCCATCTTGTCAATTTGCATTAGAGAATTTTGTAAAAGTTGTTTTGCAGATTGACCTCTTTCCTTCCACAGCTATCACCATTTCTACCACCAAGGCTATAATTTTAGATCATTGCTTACAAGATTATGGAACCTCAGAAATAACTCTGGTGATATTTCATAATAGAGAATTCAACTCTTCATAAAAACAAATAAATGAAATAATAAGTAATATTCTTAGAAGTTACAAGATGCATTAGAGAGGTAGGGCATACTTCTTTGCACTAAAGAATGCTCAAAACCTTTTATTCACTTTCTCCCTCATTTTGTATCAACTCTGTGACTTCCAACATACTCTTAGTCTTACTTTGATTGCCTTTTCAAATCAAAACTTTAGAATAAAATGGAATATTAAGTAATTAATTAGTCAAAATTGCCTGTGACCCTTAATTCTAACTTCTGTATACTTATATATGTCTTTTGTTAAAGGAACTATACATCTTTTTGAGTATGAGTAAGAGGCAAAGAAAGTTGCCTACACTGTTATTTAAAGGATTCCTAAAGTCTTGCCTATCCTACTAATCTGCTACAGAGTCTGAAATCTTCAGAATAACTCTTTTAAGCCATTATTGGAATTCGAGAGGGCCATCAGCTTGGGGAGAGAAATTTTCTAAGGTACAATTCTGTTCTAGTTACCTAGTGCTGCTCTGACAGAAATATACCACAAATGGGATAGCCTTGACAAACAGGAATTTATTTTTACAATTTGGAGGCTTTATGTCCAAATTCAAAGTGCCAGGCTCTAGGGGCTAGGTGAAAGCTCCTCAACCTTGGAGTCCAGCTCACCCTACTACTCCTGGCCCACTGGAGCTAGGGCGTTTCTTCACTCAGACAGCTGCTGGCTGCTATGGCTGGCACCCAGGGTTGACAAGTAAAAAGACACAGTACCGATATTACCAAACCATACGGCAGGCCATTAATTTAAGTCCATTGACAGTCCCAAGGTCGGCAGATCATGGCAGGCTGTTGAACAACAGCAGGGCTACATGCAGGGTCCAAGCATGCCATAAACTAGAGACCATTCCCAAAGCTGCTTCTTATATATGGGAAGCAGACCACACACCCAAAGCAGCTACTAAGCTGCTTGTGGTAGATTCCACCATGGAGCTGATTAGCAATCTCATCATAGGGAATAACTATAGCCAGCTGCCCAGCCAAGATGACACACAAACATAACCACCACATATACCAATTGACAGGACAGATTTATCAGATTAAATTTAGCCTGATGCAGTGAAAAGAGCATTGAGATTTGGAGAAAGAAAGCAATTCATTTAATCTGTCTGAATTTGAGATTCCTTCTCTGTGAAATGGACACAATAATAAAAGATCACAACATTTAGGATCAAATTCTCTACAGATTATAAAGATGTTAGTAGTATTGTTTTTGTGTTGTTGTTGTTATGTGCCATCGAGTCGGACCCGACTCATAACAACCCCTCCTTGGGTTTCCGAGGTGGTATCACTATGGAAGTTGATTGCCCCATCTTCCTTCTGAGGAGTGGCTGGTGGGTGTGAACCGCCAGCCTTCTGGTTAGCAGTCAAGTGCCTTAGTCACTATGCTACCAGAGCTCGCGATCAAGAGGTAGAACCACTTAAGTAATTGTGAGGAGGTGGTCTTTGAGACAAGCCTGGCAACCATATTTTCTCCATGCTCCATCCTTCATGGTAGCATTTCTGAGTTTCTGGAACAAACCACCACCATCACCACTGCCACCACAACTGCCAACACACACACAAAGCCTAATGTTTTGTCTAAATGTCACCCGAGTAAAGAGATACAGTCCTGTGTTAGGTGTCAAGATGTCTGAACACCTTCTCCTAGGGTGTTCTGGTGGGAAAGATCTCCATGTAATGGAACACGTAAGCTGGGGACATAAAATGGCTGGAGGAGGGATTTTTCTCCATCTTCTTGGCAATGATGCTGGTGGGAGGGACGCATGTAACATAAGCTTGGCCAGGGGGACACCAGAAGAAGGTAGGCTCCCATCGTGTCCCTCACTCAATGCCAGGTGGAGGGCGTATGTGGAAGAGTTCTACATATCCATTGGGGAAGCTTCCAGAAGCCGGGGTTGACTGCCTTGTCATGTGACTTTTCCATTCAGTCCCTTATCCATGATACTAAGTGAAGTATGTGTGGGAGAGTCATCATCTCTGCCCAGACAGTTTTTGAGACAGTGGGGAACTTCTCACCGTGGAATTTTTCACGCCATATGCTGTTTGCTTCTTTGTGTAAGTAATGAAAGCTGCTTTCCATGTGTAATATGTGTTTAGGCTCTGATTACAAGGAAATGATAGAAATGAAGCAATCCATATTAGTTATTAATTGCCTTTTTTTAATGGCCTTCTGGCTATTTAGAGATTGGAAATTATATGTGAGTATATCACAGATCCTACAATATGATATCTCTTAGTAATCTTGACTTTGGCGTTACTAATAACAATAACCACCATAATTGGGAGCTCTGGTAGCATAGTGGCTACGGCACTTGATGGCTAACCAGAAGGCTGGTGGTTCAAATCCACCAGCCACTCTTCAGAAGGAAGATAGGGCAATCTACTTCCATAGTGATACTGCCTCGGAAACCCAAGAAGGGGTCGCTATGAGTCAGGTCCGCCTCGACGGCAAACAACAACAACAACAACAAAACCATAAGCTCAGTTTTAAATGTAACACTCTCTAACCAACATTATAATCATTTCCTTGCATACATAAATTACTCTACTGCACCTTTCTCTTTATTTTATAAGCTCACCTGGCAATTTATAAATTTAAACTCTCCGCCTACTCTTACTAACCCCCTAGCACCAGGATGTGACTAAGAAAACAATCACGTTGATGGATCTCATTTTAAACTCATAACTTCTAACACTGATTGGTCCTATGACGTATCTAACAATTGCTTTATGAAATTTACTTCCCATTTTCATAAATTATTATTTCATAATTTCTCTTTCTTCATTCTCAGATGATGATCTTGCTTTCAATTTTTACAAGTTTTACCTAAATCTATTCTAAAATAGCTGTCTTCACTCATTAAAAGACCAACTCCATCATTCTCTCTTACTAGGACATCATTGGTGCACTGTTTTTCCTACATTATTTTTATTTTTACTTCTCTCCAGAATAATTCCCATCATCAAGTAAACAACTTCCCTTGAGTTCACATTCTCCTTCTCTTTCTACTATTCTATTCCTTTCACAGAAAGTCTTAGAAAGTTGTCTGTATTAGAATACTTCCTTTTCTTCCATTATCTTAACCCACTCTAATCAGGCTTTTGTTCTTACCACTATCACTCCTCACTGGTTATTCATTCTTAGTTTCCTTTTCTCATTCTTCTTTTTCTTCCTAATCTATTAAACTTTGGAATGCTCCAACACTAAGTCCTTGGACACTTCTCTATCTCCATTCATCCCTAAATGATATCATCAGATCCACAATCTTAAATTTCATTATGTACACTGATAACTCAAATGTATATTTCTAGCTATAGCATCTCTTTGAAAATTTAGCTCTATATATCTTTTTATGGGAGCTCTGGTAGCGTAGTGCCTAAGGCACTTGACTACTAACCAGAAGACTGGCAGTTCAAACCCACCAGCCACTCCTTGGAAGCAAGATAGGGCAATCTACTTCCATAGTGATACT